CTGGGGACAACAGTCTGGATCGTGAAGAATTTGAGAACTTGTGACAACACTCTTAGAGCGGTTTGCTTGATCTCTCAGATAAAAGAGCAGCACCACCATCACAAGCTTTCGTTGACGATGATTCAGAGGCTTGGTAAGTTGCTTTGTGAATGAAGAAGAGTGTTTTTGTTGCCCCGTACTTAAGCTTGCATATGTTATTTGATAACAAGCTACTATAAAACTTTTTTATCACCGAGAAACCTTAGTCTTTGTATAAGTATGATTTGTTTTGCTGCTATGGTAAAGTTAGAGAGGTATCATCGTTGCTCATAGCTTTTGCTGTTTTCCTCCTTTTAACCCTGGTTATACTCTAGCATAAAAGGTAATTTAAAGGAGCTAATGTTTGGCAATCTGCTCAAGGAGATGAAGCTATCCAATTATCGTCAAGATAAAGGTGCATAACAAAAACAAGGCAAAGCTAGTGATGAACCCAAACCAGGATGAGTAATGCAGCAAATCTGATCTAATAGGTGACTAAAGTGGTGCTTGGAATGTTGAATGCTAGGGTACCAGGCCACAAGATAAAGAAGGAGAACTCGAGAGCATGTGAATCCACACTAAAAAATATTGTTCTCGTTTTATTAAAAGGAGGTATTGATCCTTTAACTTATGGCTTATGGGGCCAATTTGAATTTACTTGAAGCACAAGCAAGATAAACTTGATAGGCTTCTCAAGGAGAATCTTGTCCTCCTTCCCAATTCAAGACAGAACTAGCTAAAAACCATGGAGAAGAAAGATAGAAAAAGCCTTAGTAGCTTTGTTGGAGTTTTTTCCAGAATCTCTTGCCAAGTTGAGTCAGCTTGACAGTAAGTTTTTGGCAGCCAGCAGTATTAACGTTTGGACTCCATTGACACAAATAAGGGATAGTTTAAGATATGTGAGGTCCAAGTGTATGGCTATGATGCCATATACTAATATTAGCATAATGAGATTTTGGTAGCCATCGGATTAATTTCAATTCGGACCATTTTCTCTTGTATATAAACTAGGGTTTTTGGGCTAATTGATATGTATATTCTTTATATTCTTTTTCCATATTCCATGCACTCACATTGGTGGAGGTGAGGGGTAGCTTTAATTGTCTCTGAGGAGTTCTAGGATTTAAGATTTTGGTTTAGATCTAACTTTTTCATTGTCTAGATCTCCCTTTTCTTATTGCTTTTCTCAACTTCTTCTCTTTTACTCTTTCCTTTTCATCCGTCTTCATGGCAGAGTAACATCCTCCTCCTCCTTTGACTCAATAGCAGCAATTAGTGCAATTGCTCGATACTATATGGTTGCAGTTGAACAACCAAACTCAATTGATGGCAACATTTATGGCACGTGGTACAACTCCTCCTGCTCTTGCTGCCAATCCTCATGTCTGACTAGAGTTCTTCTATGCAAATCTTGGGGATGATGTGTACCATTGGTTTGATCATTTCACGGTGATTGCCACATATCATTTTTGGGATGATGTTCAAAGTTTGCATGAGTTTCCCACGTATCTCCAAGGGACGACACTGCAGTGGTACAATGATTTGAGCACAGCCACTCGTGAGGATTAGAGCATTCTCCCAGACGTCTTCAAACACACATTTGGACATGTTGATGATTGTGATAATGCCTTCCAACAATTGCATCATTTACGTCGAAGGCCATCTAAGTTAGTGATGCAATTTGGTATTCATTTTCGAAGTCTTTTACTTCGTGCAAAGCTAAATATGTGGGAGCGGATCAAGCTGGGAATGTTGTGGCTAGCACTTTGTCAATATTTGGTAGGACTTGTGCATGCACTTGCTCTAGCCACCCTTAATGATGCCCTTCACTTGGCACAATGTTATGAATTGTTATTTCTTCCACTTCTTGTTGCATATCCTTCAACTCCACTTCCTATAGGAGATGGTCCTATTCCAATGGAAGTTGATGTTGTTGCTGCCCAAGTTCAAGAATTAGAACAAGGATGTGGTTGTGGCCATGATGTCTATTACTAAGTGTATGATAAAGTTAGTCACACTTATTGGTGTTGTTGGCATTTTTCGGATTGGCAATCTCCATTTCTTGGATGGAGACCTTGGCGTCAACAACATCCTGTTGGTGCTACTGCAATGGAAGGTCTAGAAATTGAGATACATCCAAAAAATAAAGAGTCGCACAAGTAACAAAGGGACCTTGCTCAAATAAGTTAGTGACCCCTTCATCTTTCTTTCAGGAGTATTATCAAAGTTCACTCGGCATCAATTCATCTAGCATTTACTTCCAAGCTTGTTTTTATAACAAAAGGTCTCCTATTATTTTTTCTATGTTGATTGATACAGACTTGAGTTTATCTTTTATTGCTTGGCTTGTTGCCACACATTGCCATATACATTTGTGTCGTGTAGCAAAGCCAATTTTCATTCTTTATAGCAACAACTATATATGCATAGAATGAGGTAGACCTAATTGTGCATATAAGCAATCTTGAGCTTGAGTTGCAGTCATTACGAATAGTGCCAAGTCAAACTTTTGACCTCATCCTTGGTATGGATTAGTTGTGGCATAATCATGACTTTGAGGTTTCTCCCCTTTGTCTCATACTTTTGATATTTTTTCCATTCCTCCACTTTTTTACCTACTTCCATCACTTTTGTCTTCTCATTACTTCCTCCTGAGATAAGGATTTTGTGCTATCGGCAGTTGCTGTACTTGATATTCAATATCCACAAGGTGCAAAGCAAGATTAACCTCTCTTGATGAGGTTTGTGAGGTTCAAAAGATTAAACCATGAATTCAAAGGCTTCATGATAGGTTTGAGAATTTTACATCATTTGCTAATGACTTCTCAATATCACCTTGAAGACAGTCTTCTTTATTTTCTAAGTATAGATCTTGATGATCATTTACGGTTGGTGGTTTAGTCTTTATTCCACACTTTCTCTATGCCTACCATAATTCTCCCATTCTAGGTGGGCATATGGGATATTGTCGTGTGACCAAAAAGTTGTGTAGGTCTTTTTATTAATTGGAGATGATGTGTGTAGTTACGTTTGGTGGCAGGCTCGTAATACTCCCCCTTGTGTTGCAGAAGGATGGCTGGAGTCAATTTGCAATTTCCTGTCCATTTAAGTTTGTGACATTTGATTTGATGGGACCTTTTCCACGATCGACTGTTGGCAATGAGTTGTTTTTTACTTTTGATTACTTTTGACTACTTGACTCACTAGGTGGAAGTCGGAGCTCTTGTTAGTATATCTATAACTGCTGTTTGATACTTCCTCCTCAATCAAGTGGTGTTTTAGCATTCCTGTCTGGAGTGGATTCTTTCATATAATAATCCCACATTTATGGTTGAGGCATTTCACGTTTTAACATCTTAGTTGGGGATATGCCACATTTTCATGAGTGCTTATCATCCGCAATCAAACAGTTTGGTGAAATGGCTCGTTTGAACTTTCAAAAGGATAATCACAAAATATATGAACTTTCAGCATTTGAATTGGGATGGTCATTTGTAGTCTCTTCAGTATGTCTATGTCATAGGGGTGCAAAGTTCTGTTAGTGCTTCACTATATAAACTCCTATATGGTCATGATCCAATATTGCCAATGAAGTTGGGTTTACTTTCGCGATTGCTATGGGTTGCCAATGGTAGGTCGTGGGATTAGTATTTGACAAGCATTTTTCCACTTGTCAAGTAGAGTCTATTGAACACCTAGGCCATATACAAGTGGGATAACTATGGCACTAGAACTCCTATCATCGTCTATTTATGGAGTACAAAGTGGATGATTTGGTGTTAGTCTATTTTCCCCATCTTATGGTACATGGTTTATCTAAAGGGCTCCTTGCTCAATAGAAAGGTCTATATTAGATGTTATGGCAAGTTAAACCACAAATTTATGAGGTTTGGTATGACATTTAGTAAGCTGATCTTTTAGAAATTATACATATGTAGCAATTGAAACACTTTGTACAAAGGAATTAGGAATAATTTGCACCACTTACAAATCCACTAATGCCTCCTCTTAATCTCGACCCATCAATGAGAGAACCTTAACGGTATTTTATCATTTTGAGAGGAGGGGATAATATGAGGTTTATATGTATAGCTACAATGCCATATACTAATATTAGCATAGTGGGATTTTGGTAGCCATTGAATTGGTTTCAATCCAGACCACTCGCTCTTGTATATATGCTAGGATTTTTAATTGATATGCATACTTTTTGTATTTTATTTCCATATTCCATGCACTCATAAATATAAATTATTAATTTCTATTAATAGAATCCTATCTATAGTGATGAAGTATGACTTATTATTAAGAGATATTTAATTAATATTAATATAAGTATAAAATAATATAGAAAATTCATCATTAACTAATGAAACATATCTTTTTATATCCAATGGAATATTTCAAAATACTATCTTCAAAAACTTATCTTATTAAATATTACTAGTTAGTATGAACTTTCATCATTGTCTTTAGTTGGAATCTCCTTTAAGTACTTACTTAACAGTTTCTTTTAAGTCAATAAATGATTTGATTGAGCATCCAAAATCTAACACTGTTAATACCATCATTTTTGCATTGGAATTAGGCCACTCTTTGATAATTTTAATTATGAATTAACTAATAATAATGAAATGTAATGATTATGATAACTCATTGTTTCAATCTAGTGGTAAGTATGAACTCCACATTTAAGGTATTATTCCATGCAGTCTAGTCAGTATGTAGAAAACAAGTTTAACAAGATTAAAAAAGAAAATCTTGAAGTGCATTAAATATATAATGAAACCCTTGTTTACTTTTACTAATCAATATTTTATAAAATGTTTTCTGGAGGAAACAAATAAATCTGAATATATATATATATATATATATATATATAAACATTAAGGGGCTTGAGGGTTTATGGTTAATGTTTTTGCTCCTTTAGTTTTTTAGATGCTATTTGGATTTCCGCTTGTTTTGTCAGAGGTTTTGGGGCGATGTCGGCTGTGGTTGTGCTACGCAACGGGCAGATGCTCCAAACCTATTCGGATCAAGGCCTGACAGTGGGTGACGTACTTGATGATTTGCGCGAGTCGGGGTTTGTGGGGCATCTGGAGGACGAGCACGGCAAGCTCCTCCGCAGGTACGTTCTTGTTGGAGGCTCTACGTACAACTTCGTAGAGGTGACGCTGGGAAATGGGATTGATTGATCTTCTAATGCATTGAAAATCCGCAGAAGCAAGGGGCAACCTGGTTTGATGTGCATCTACGAGTACCCTCACCGTCCGCTTTCGCTGCAGACCCTCAAGCTATGATGCGGTATCTGGGCGGTGACGATCCGATATACGATCTCGGTCGGACATCAGCAGCCATTCCGCTGCCGCTCACAGTTGAGGCGTTCGCACTGTACGTCCAAGGCCTTAAGTTCCGTGTTCTCGACGCATTGGACTGGAGCTTCGTGTCCAAGGTTATGGGCATGAGTAGATTCTTCGAGAATGAGACGCAGCGGCAGAGTGCATTTCTGGAGTGGACTCAGGATTATCTCAGGGCAACATGTGCTGGTGTGCAGTTGAGGTTTACGGAGTCTGTCAAAGGGAAAGGCATGCCGGATATCAAGATCGAGGCCTTGGTCCTGGGAGAGTGGATAACTATCTGCATGATAGAGGTGAAGGTAGAGATTGGGGGAGGGGAGCCTTGTGTCGAGCTGGTGAAGTACTACGCCGACTACACAACGCAGCTGTGGCAGAGAAACGATTGGTTGTATCAAAACTCCTGCTGTCCGGTGCTGCTGATTGAGGTTGTTGGTCCGCATGTCCGAGTTGGGGGTGCGGTCAGGTACGTGGACAAGCCTGCTTATCAGCCATTCACCCCGCTTCTTCACGTTTTCAAGTTCGTCCAGGATGCAGACCACCTGAGTATGCTGTCCAGAGCTCTTGGCTCCATTGGTGATGCGGTGAAGTCTTTGGTGGCGTTTTACGCTGGGGTGACGCGTTCCCTTCCGCCTGTAAGGGCAGCTGAAGTGGAGTGGCCTTATGCGATCACACGTCTGCAGCAGCAAGGGGCGGTAATTGTTCAGACCACGCTTTCACGGAGCTTCCTCCGTGCGATGAACAAGCAACTCCTGTTTGGCGTGGAACTGAAGGGAAACCGCCGCATCGTCAAGTTCTGCCAACGTTACGGAACTGCGATCCATCAGCAGTGGGCAGCTGAAGGCTTTGCTCCTTCCTTCACGTGCCACGCACTTGCTGGTGGCTGGTTGATGATCGACATGGAGCTGTGCTCGCAGGACGATGGCTGGGTATCACTTATGGCCTTGGATCCCAACAGTTGGAGTGTAGGAGACAACGCAGCTAATGAGTATCGTCTGCAGCCAGAGGAGTGGGAAGTTTGCAAACAGAAGGTGGTAGAGGCATACAGGACTCTGTGGCTCAAGTTTCCAGGGGTTGTGCACGGAGATCTGCGAAAGGCCAACATTATGTACAATGTCTCAAGCAAGCACGTAGCTTTTCTGGACTTCGACTGGGCAGGGATCGAAGGACAGGAGAAGTACCCGCTGCTGATTAACACCCTCATGCAATGGCCTGAGGGCGTTGGTCCGTGTAAACCCATGAAAGCGGAACACGACCGGCAATTGCTTGCTACTGAGCTGGGGGTGAAGCCTGACGACATTGTCGCCTAAGAGACTGCCTGTGCTCGCGACACGCGACCTTTTGTTTTTTTTTTTTCTATTTTTCTTTTCTTTTGTTTTTTTTTCAGTTTGAAGTTTTCAAGCTCAAGAACAAATGCAGAATGGGATGAGAGCTCCACTTGTCGGATCCAACATGCAAAGAAAAACCAACAGGAGTCGTTGTGCAAAATCCATTCTACTGGGGCATAATTCGAAATGCTTTTATATGAATTCGTCTTTACAATGGGTATTTGCAAGTAGACATTGTCCACATTGCTCTGATTTGTTACACCAGGGTTGAAATAGTCCATCATCTTTTAGAGATATATTAACTACAGTACGCTGCTCTGCTGTGGCATAAATGAGGTAGTGGATCGTGTGCTCAAAAGCCTAGGCGGAGCCTGTAACGCTGTTCAACAGCACTGGAGTTCGCCAACCTGGTAGTGATCTTGTAGCTCTGCTAGACGATCCGAAGCACATTGGCAGCGATCTACGATCTACGATCTACAGCAAGAATTTCAGAGAGATTTAAGGATATGAACACATATATAAACCTGTACTTCTAAAGCATTCATACAGTTGAATTTTTCCTGTTCATTCTTTCCATCAGTCCCTGTTAGCCAAAACGGCCTGAACAGTTTGTAGTCTTCACCCCGCACCTTCCTTGTCGGATCTGTTGCCACTGATGTCACAGTGAGATTCGATAACCGCAGATCGGTACCAAGAACTAGAGCCCACAGACCATGATGTGCTCTGCCTAGAACTCGCCTGAGAAGCGTAAATCCCGTATCCCCGTTGGGCAGTTCCAAATCTACCAGCGTATTAGCATCGTCAAAGCGAAACAGCACTTTGAGGGTACCCTCCAAAGGCAACCCTTGGATAGCACCAACCAGCGTCGCTGAAACGTCCTGAGCGTAGTAGGATGCTCAGCCTCTTTAGCGGCTGCAGCTGCTTCAAGATGCGCTCTCCAGTGAGAAAGTCGACTGGCTATCTTCCGTGCTACAGGAAAGCCACGGCCGAGATCCGTTTGGACGAGTATCCATGCTTCCACCAACACCTCACAGGCTCTTGCCACTGTTTGAAACTAGGCCTTTTTAATGCATTGGGAGGGATCCTTTCAGATACCACCCATCTGCAGTATTGTCACCTTACCATCCTCCCCAGTAATCCAATAAGCCCAGTGGAGAGTCCGGCCACGAAACATAAATGACGTACAAGCCCTTTTGGTAGAGTTGCTAGACAACTAAATTGCACCTTCTTAATCTTGTTCAAAGCAGGACTCCCTCGTCTTGAAGAGCATACTCCAAGAATGCTTTTCGCGGAATCAACAGCAGATGAACTGCTCCATATCTCTGCAAGCTGCCAGCCGATGAAGCTCATAAACCCTAATTTTAAACAAAAGTTTATTAGTCAATGCTTTTTAGGGTAGGAGCGATGGCGCCAGCGTCTCCCTTCGTGGGCGACGTTCTCGACGGCGATGTGGCGCTCGTCACGGGCGGTGGATCTGGTATTGGCTTCGAGATTGCGCTGCAGCTGGGCCTTCACGGCGCGCGATTGCTCCTCCTCGGCCGCCGCCTTCCCGTGCTCGAGGCGGCCAAAAAGAGTCTCTCCGCCCGCGGAATCCAGGTTTGCTATAGCTCTTCGATTCGGGATTGCCCCATCGCTCCTTGTTACAGGTCGAGTACGCGCATGGAGACGTGAGATCGCCCGACGACGCCGCCAAAGCCGTGAATCTGGCCGTGGAGCGATTTGGGAAGCTCAGCATTCTCGTCAACAGTGCCGCTGGGAATTTCTTGGCGCCGGCCGAGTTGCTCACTTCCAAGGGGTTTAGAACTGGTGCGTGTTCTTCCCGTCTAGATGATAGATGAGATTCTTTTTTTCTTTCTTTTAGTTTCATCAAGAGCATCGTCTAGGCAGTTCTCGAGATTGATACGCTGGGGACTTTCAACATGTGCCACGCTGCATTTCCAGCGCTCAAGCGAAGCTCCAGCGAGAAGAGTGTTATCATCAACATTAGCGCGACTTTGCACTATGGAGCTACTTGGTATCAATCGCATGCTGCGGCTGCCAAGGTTCTCAACTTCTCCAAGGTTCTTTCTATAAAACTTGTCTTTGGTTCTTTTCAGGCTGCCATAGACAGCTTAACTCGAAGCTTGTCCCTCGAATGGGGTCCTATTCGTGTTAATGGCATCGCTCCAGGGCCGATCGCCGATACCGCTGGCTGGGAGAAGCTTTCTGTCGGAGTTGACTCTGCTGCGAGCGTCCGTTCCCGGGAAGAGATTGTGGAAAAAACTCCAGCAGGACGCGTCGGGACAACGTGGGACGTCGCGATGGCCGCCGTGTTTCTAGCTGTAAGTTTTCTTTCCCTTCATCGCTTTGTTTCGAGGCTAAGAGTTTTTCTCGTGCATTTTTTTAGTCGAGCGCTGGAAGCTGGATAACCGGCGAGACGATTGTTGTAGACGGTGGAAACTGGCTGTATTATCCTCCAGCTCTTCCAGCTGATGCCGTCGCCGGGGCTTCCAGAGCTGTGGAAGCATCGAGCAGACGAGTGGGCGTTCCTGAAAGAAGCAAGCTTTGACGAAACTTTTGCGATACTCTGACACGACAAACTTGATCGAAAAACATTCTTATTAAAGTGGTGAACAAAACAAGATATTGGTTATGGAAGTGGAACTACAAAAAAACCAAGCAACGAAGTAGTGATCAATCGAAGTTGAACTAAGGAAAGAGGAACCTGACCATCATACCGCGAAAACGACCAACCAGACGAGATTGAGCAGCAAGAGGAAGGCCTCGCTGCTGTGAAGCATGAGAGCTGGCGACGGGAGAGGAGCTGGAGCGGCGGGACAAGGCAGGCCCTCTGGGCCGGCGACGCAGAGATTGGCAAAGAGGCCACCCGGGTAAGCCCCGGCATTGTTGAGGTACGCAAACATCTCGTCCGCGCAAGTGGTGTTTTGATCGTTGAAGTAAGTGATGTACCTACAGGTGAGTGCGATGAAAGAGTTGCAGCAGGGCTCTCGCGGGTATGGCGACTTGCATACGCTCGTGATACTGGTATAGTTGACGGTCCCGAAATCAAATGGGCAAGCTGCAAAGAAAGTTTCAGCAGCACGGTCGGTGAAAGCAACGAGAATGGAAGCACAGATCGAATGAAGGTCCAGGAGACCAAAGTGGTCTAGGAAAGAAGAGCCTCCAAGTAAAGTGGAAAGCCATCGATAAAACGAAAGTGGAGAGCTTAGCAGGGATCGAAGCAAGAGACCAAGACAGGAGAAGAAGAACTTACGAGCTTTAACTTGGAAGAGTCTCCTCATCGGCCCCTGCGATCCTGCATTGACGGCGAGTATGAAACTCTGCGAGGAATGGGATGATGATACCTGAGGCTTGGCAGCACAGTAAGAAGCAGCAAAGGGCCAAGCAAGCTCTTGTCCACAAACCCATCTCCAATCGATTCTCGGATGAATGGTAGCCGCGTGGATCGAGTGCGAGCGAAACCCCAGGCAAGAGTCTACTCGTTACTTCTGTTTAACGTGTTGGTTTATTAGTTTCTTTTAGCTGATTAATTACGCAAGTTCCCACTACAATCTAGGTGAACACAATTATATTCGGTCAATTCCCCGTTGGTTTCATGTGATTCTATCAACGCGGCATGCCAGCTCATCGATAATAAAATAATAAAAACTAAAAGCTCAACCTCCCGCAGCCGTTGGATATCAGGTTCGGGTAGCGTTGTATGGACTAGATGTGTTGGCAGCCGCTGGTGGCAAGCACAAGCTTTCATCTAGGGCTCCATCGCTCGCTCTTTCGTGCCACGGGGCATACCTGGCGGATCTCAGCAGCAGCGCTTGGTGGATTATGAGGCAGAGATTGAGCAAAGACCTGGAATCTCATATGTCAAAATGTGAATCCAATGCCATATGACTCTTCTATGTGGGTAAGAATTTTCCATCGTGGGGTCGTCGTGTCCCTAGCATGTGGTGGTGGCCATGAGCGTTTAGGCCACTGGTGGTTAGCAGCCCCATTGGTGGCAACTGCGCATGCTTGTTTTCTTTTTTTTTGGGGAAAAAATTTAGAGAACCTCTTTGAATTGCTAGCATACAACGTGATCTCCACTTGGAGCTTGGCAAATGCAGCAATGTACAGTGTAAACTGAATTGGATGTAACGTTTTGTGATACAAATACTTGCAAGACCATCTTCTTTTGAACAAAGTCTTCTCTCATTCTAGCTCTTTTTTCAAAGTCAAACTAAGGACCCCACCCCCTCCTGATATAAAAGCAAGTTTTACAATTTCGACTCAGTCTCAAAAGTTAAATCTCTGGAACAAGTTTGAAAAATTTAGAGAACCTCTTTGAATTGCTAGCATACAATGCGATCTCCACTTGGAGCTTGGCAAATGCAGCAATGTACAGTGTAAACTGAATTGGAACGTTTTGTGATACAAATACTTGCAAGACCATCTTCTTTTGAACAAAGTCTTCTCTCATTCTAGCTCCTTTTTCAAAGTCAAACTATATTTCAGGACCCCACCCCCTCCCAATATAAAAGCAAGTTTTACACTTTCAACTCAGTCTCAAAAGTTAAATCTTTGAAACAAGTTTGAAAACTTATTAAATATAAAATGATGTTAGATTGTGAATTTAGATTTAGCTAACACTATCATATTCAAGACAAGTTTATCGAAACACTTTCTATAAATAGCTAATGGGATTAATATATTCTAAACACTTTCATGGGACCATTATATGGGTATGGTAGTGAGAGTATTTAACATATATAGTAGGCTATTATATAACAATATTGAGGGACTAATGTTTAATATGCAAGGGTTTTTATCACTAGTCAGTAAAACATTATAAATAGGAACTCCTTACTAAACTAAATATGCTTAATTAATAGCACATAGGAATTCCATTTTTATGCTTGTTTAATCTAGGTATAATTGAAAACACAAGAAGGATTGATAAAGGGTCTAGAAATATTAATCTTTTGCTGTTGTGGTAGTAAAAAAAAAAATCTGAAAAGACTTTGCTAATATATAATTTTCAATACTTATAGTTATATTTGCAATAGATATGGTACATCTAAATCTTACTTATCATATGCTACCTTGAGACAATGTTTAACTGCAAGAAGGTGTCAAGTAATGTCTTGTTTGTGTTCATCCAGTGCCAAAGTCTCCCAAGCTCTTATCTACTACTTCTCATTGAGTTAAAGATCTACTACATGTTGTAGAGTAAGCTCCAATGACGAGACTTGGATGGTGATAGGAAGGACAGCCTCTGTGCTATAGAGAAGTAAGAAAGGTGTTGCTGCAATAGATTTTTTGAACATGGTTTTGAACATCCACAAAAGCATGAACAAGTGCTCATGCCAACATCAAAGATGATTGTCAACCAGCTTCAAGATAATAGTCTTCAAAATCTTGTTAGAAGACTTGGCTTGTCTATTTGATTGTGGATATCTACTATTGCTTAAAATGTGTTGGACATCAAGTTTCACCACCAGGTATGCAACTACTATGCTGATGAAAGAACTGCCAAGATTGGACACCAAAACTGCTAGGAGTCTAAAGTGATAAATGATGTGCTCGTAGCAATTCAAAACAAGATGGCTTCAGGCCACTTGGTGAAGTAATCTATGGCAAGAAAAAGGTAACAATGTCCCTATGAACTTGGTGGAGAAATCGGGCGAATGAAGTCAAGTTCCACTTGAAGAAGGACCTAGCTGTGACCACGAACTGGAAAGGAAGGTGAAATGTGCGTTGCATTGTTGGCAAAGAAGGCACTCTTTGCATAGGTTGCTGTGTCTTGATGAATGGTCAGCCAAAAAAGCCCATGTTGCAAGATTTGGTGTGCTGTCGCCTTTGCTAAGAAGTGTCCAGAACAAGTGTGGAAAGAGCAAAGAATCCCTGGGATCTCATGCTCTAAAACACATCAGAGAAGGTGTTGTGTCAATAAAGAGCCCCTCCAAGCAAACAATTATCCCAAGCCTTATGAGTTATTGCTCGCTGTTAAAGATGGTGGATACTACCCCTTGCAATACGATGGAGAGAAGCAGAGACACTAAAGGTATCCACCAATGCGATCAGAGCTTGGCTAGGGTTATGGACTTGTTGCTTCCTTGCAATGAACTCTAGCTCAAAATCCTGGATCGTGAGCGACAACAACAAAGTACGTGGTCGCCGATTGTTTTTCTGTAAAAGGAAAGTCAGTAGATTGCAAGAGACATGGATGTGGATACGTGCTTCAAGTAAAAGGTAGCAGAAATGTCGTAATATGTATACTACTGCCACAGCTTCTCACTGCTCTGAATCCCTAAATGAATGTAAGACAAAGTAGACAGCGTGGAGGGGGTTTTGTGGCTCCTTTCATTGACACAAACAGCAGTCACCCATCCTTTCTAGCATCTCCTCAAGATGGTCACACTTTTCCAGTGGCAACAGCAAGCTTTTGAGGTGATCTAATCCCTTCTTCGACAACCACCAATTCCTGGAGACTGTTTTGAAATTTTCATCACCACTGGAGCTGAAGCTTTTGGAGCTAGCAAACTTTGGTATAAAGTGTCAAAAGAAACTAGCCTGGCCTTGGAAGTGTTGTAGCATCTTAAGTGATGTTGGAGGTGGACTCTGGAGCATAAGGAGTGATGCCTTGAGATGAGATATCAAAATTGAACAGCCTCTCTTGTGTAACTCTGAAATTGCATTTTCGGGGTTGAGTGAAAACCAGGCAATGCTAGAAAACTTGCTCCAAGGCCAATTAGATGATCTTTAAAAGAGCAAGATGCTGAGCAAAAGGTCGTCCATCTAAACTCGAAGAGAGGAGCCGAGAAGGTCATGAAAAACATACTTGGAGAAATGTAGCTCCTACATTATATAAACCAAATGGAAGTACTTTATATGAGAAGACACTCCATGGCGTGCAGAAAGCTGTCTTTTCTCGATTATGAGGATGAATCTAGAGCTGGTTGTATCTTGAGAAGTCGTCCATAAAAGAGAAGAATGTGTGGCCAGCTAACTCATCGAGGATCTCATTTTCAAAAGGAGTTGCAAAGCGATCCTTGAGTGTCATGTCATTGAGGCTCCAAAAAAAACTCAACATAGATGCAGAGTTTCCCATTTAGGCTTCCCCTTAGAGGCCATCATACACAATATTGACCAGGAGTTCAGCCAAACCAATCCATGACAAAACAACCCAGTTGAGCACTCTAACTGGATTTCTAACATTGTTCCAGTCCGTAAGAAGAGATGTCGTGGTACCTTTGGAGGAGAGAAAGAAGGGCGGAGGTATTATCAAAAGATCTGCTGATGGCGATGTTGTGGTCATCTTCGAGCAGTGGTGTCTCACAGCAGTGAGGATCTGGCTTTAAGCAAAGCAAAAATGGAATGGCTTCCACCTTGAAAACCGGCTGGATGTCTTCTAGAGCATCTTGCATGTCGGCTATAGCTTCGTGTGAAAGCTTTTGTCCGCCCAACCACGAGGGACACTTGTGAACCCAAAAGTTGTCACCACGAGGGACATGTGAATGTGATGAAATGAAAGTGTTGTCTAAGATCCATTCTCTTCAAGTTAAAGCTCTCTGATGATAGAAAAGTTCTTTCAAACTGCTGGGCAATTTCTAGTTATTGAGAAAGATTAGCTATGGAGACTTTGGTACGATGGAAACTTGATACAAAGAAGATACTTTGGCACCTTCAGCATGAGATAGACAAGAAGGAACTCTCCATGGCTCTGGGCCTGGGCGGGCAAGTGAAAGACATAGCTCGGGCACCGCGAGTGGAGCTAGAGCCAGTGTTCTTCCTCGGAGTTCCTTCCTTCGATCCCGCAGCCGACACTGGAACCGAGACCGAGACCGCGGCGCAGCACTGATGCTGGAGCCTGTGCTGGAACTCCGTCTCACTGATCGTCATCATGCTTCCACCCAGTCGATCATCCAAGCCGGAGCTCTCCCTCTCCTGATCTTCTTCCCTGTACACCGCCTTGTACTGGTACCACCGAGCGCAAGTGAGGAAAAGGAAGAAGTTCGCCGTGCTGAGGCAAGTGAGCAGCAAGTAGAAGCGATGGAGATGGGCCCTGTTTAAGTTGTTCCCGATCCAGCTCCCGCCCGAGCCCCGGCTCGTCACCTTCACCACCACGCTGAGGAGCAAGCTGCTGATGAAGCTACCCACGGCCACGGTGCTGAGGTAGAGAGCTGCCCCCACACTGCGCATCGAGTCGGGTGCCTGGTTGTAGAAAAACTCAAGCATCCCAACGGAAATGAAAACTTCACACGTACCGATCAACATGTACTGTGGAAGTAGCCAGAAGATGGTCATTGGCAGCGGAGTGTGGGGCTCGTCGAGCAGCCCGTGCTGTCTCGCCACCCGGAGGCGCCTCATCTCCACCAGCGCCGCGGAGGCGATGGCGATGGTGGAGATCACCTGTCCGATGCCGATTCTTTGGAGGGAAGTCAGGCCCCTCTCCTCTCCTGTCAGCTTCCGGACGAACGGGACGAAGTATGTGTCGTAGAGCGGCAGGAGGATGCAAATGGTGAGCGTGATGAAGAGCGGGAACGAGGCCGCCGGGATCATGAAGTGCGGTCCCATTCGTCGGTCGAGAGTCCGGCCCTGGCTCAAGAACATCGTCCCGACTTGAGCGAAGACCGCCGAGAACATGAGGTTGGTCATCCAGATCGGTAAAGTCCGGATCAGCAGCTTCACTTCCTCGACTTGCGTGACGGGACACAGCCGCCACGGATTCGGCTCCCTTCCTCGAGACTTGTAGAGAGCTATTTCTTCCTTCGAGATGGCAGCCTTGTCGAGAAACCTGCCGAGAGCACAATTCGAAACTGTAAAAAACAAGAAAAACTTTTAACGACCAGAAACTAGAACTTACTCCTTATAAGTGTTGTTGTTTCCCAAGCGCATTACGACCACTTACACAAATCCGGAGCTGTGAGGGAGCTTGCGATGCCTCGGAGAGTGAGGCCCTTCTGGATCTTCCAGCTCGTACAAGAGCTCTAAGTCGGGAACTTGTAACTTCCACTTTCGTGTCGCTGCTACCAGAACTTGCGCAATGCGTGTCAGTGGACTTCCTGCCGGTAGCTGATGCCTGTACTTGGCTGAGCCCAGGAGAAAGAGTGTCGTAGCAATGCACGTAACACTCGTCGCAGCACCATACCCCCAAGCCCATCCTACATTATCCTGGACGTAAACCAAAATACTAACCGAGAGCATGGTGCCAAAACTTATACTCACAAACCACCAGTTCAGAAACGAGAGCTTCCTCTTGCTTTCTACCGGATCATTCTCGTCGAACTGGTCCCCTGCGAAGGCCGAGACGTTGGACTTGATACCACCGGCGCCGAAAGCCATCAAGTAAAGAGCGAAGTAGAAAAACCCGACTTGTAAACCCGAGGCTTTGGGACACACCCGTCCCGACGGAGTGCTGAGACAGTTTGGTGGCTTCAAGGATGGCACGGAGACTGCCAAGGTGACACAAACCATTGCCTGAAAGAGAACAAAGTAAACAAACGTAAAACTAAGTATCAAAGGCTTACCAAAACATAGCTGCAACAAAACGCTGTGAGGGTCCAGTATCGGCCTAGAAACGCATCCGCAACAAAAGCACCTAGCAAAGGTGTTAAGAAAGTCGTGCCGGCCCAATTCATGACGTTCTTCGCGGATTGGGCTATATCCTCGTGAAGCTCGCTGGTGAGATACTTTAGAAGATTGGAAGAGATCGCATAGAACGCTACACGCTCGCAAACTTCGCATCCTATCAACAAGTTGACAGTCAGTAAGAAATCACGAAAACTTACTGAGAAGAAAAGGAAGAAAGAACTAAGAACACACAACTTACCAAAAATCAACCAGCAAGCACTCCAGTTCCCACTCTTGGACTTGATCGCTGGATTGCCATGAAGATCCACAGCACCATTCTCGACGACGTCTTTCACTCGTAGTTCCTCGCCATCGGAGTCGACAAGAGTGCCAGTAGTGGCTGATCCTTTGTCACTGCCTTCGTCGGTAGCTAAAGAGGTGAGCTGGATTTCCTTGATCTCGCCGCCTTCGCTGGGAACTGGAGTGACCACTACGACTGGAGCGATCACAGCATCCTCCTCCTTTTCTATCATCTTGGATTCGAATCGCCTGCATTGGTCGATCAGCTCAGAAGATTTCTACCTGCATTCTTTCTTGGAGAAAACCTAGATCGAGATTTCTTACCTCCACGACGAGAAGCCAGGCGCGATTCATCACAACGCGCGATCGCTCATCCAGCAAGGCAGATTTTGTAGGAGAGATGAGATTTCGCTCGCAAGAACACCACAGCATAGCTGTGGCGATGGAGGTACCATCGCCAGCGCCAAGGGCAAAGAGAAGAAGCCCTTGGCTGTCGAAAGGACGCTACTCTTCTCGTTCGCACGGCGTACACCGCACGATGGCCAGCATTCCGCGCCAGAATGCCTGGCCACACGGACGGCCCGGATTTGCCTTCTTTTAGGTCAACAAAAGATAACGTTAAAACAGGGGATTTGGGCTAGGGCTTGGTTCTCGTCGGTGCTCGAGCGTGCTCGGTCGAGATCTTCATTCCAAGTTCACGCACGCGTGACCTTTTCGCGACGCGCTCCTCATAGCTTTAATCTTTGGAGCGCGCGCTTTTCGATTTCTCGAATTGCTGGAGCTTCTTGAGCCCCTCGCGCCGGGCAGCGAGCAAGGTATGGGCATCCCTTGCTCCCTCGATTCATCCTAGGATTTTAGGGTAGGGCAAGTCTGATCGATACATTCTTTCCTGGGGTTGGGGATTAGATGGCTCTCGTGGAGTACATGGACGACGAGTTTGATGCGGTGGATTTTGATGACGATGAGGAGCTTCTTTTTGGACGCGATAGGGGTGGCTTGGATTCGGACTCCGAGAACGATGATGATATGGTAAGCTGCGAGTTTCTTTTGTTTAGTCTGCGAATTTCTTTTCTAAGCTCATGAGTTTTGTGTGCTCTAGGAGAGCAAAGAGAAAGATACTACCGCTGGTCAAGCTAGAAACGGTAAGGACATTCAAGGAATACCATGGGGATTACAATTTACAAGGGAGAAGTATCGGGAGGCAAGGCTGCAGCAGTACAAGAATTACGAGAATCTGGAGCATTCTCGTGAGGATTTAGATAAGGTCGGTGCTACATTTCTTTCTAGTTTTCATCGTACAAATCTTTGGAGCAGGAATGCAGGGAATTTCAGAAAGGGAGGCGATTTTACGACTTTCGTCTCAACAAGAGGTCTTTGAAGTCGACGATAGTTCACTTTCAGGTACTGAAACTCCACACACGCTTTTACTTACTTTGATCTCTTGTGCTGCTTGCAGCTACGGAATTTAATATGGGCAACCAGCAAACATGATGTTTATCTTATGCAAAACTTTTGTGTGCTTCATTGGTCTCCGGTTTCTCAAAAGGTTTCTCAGGTTCTGAATGTTAATTCTCCTCCGCCTCCTGAGGTGCGTTCTGTGTTTTTGGGATTTCTATCGAAAGAAAAAGTGTTTCTGATTGGGTGATTTGCAGAGGACGTCATTTGCGTCTTCGTATTCTCAAGGTATAGGCCGAGTGCAGATTAGCACGATGTGCGTGAGGGAGAATCTGCTTGTTGCCGGTGGCTTTCAGGGTGAAATGGTGTGCAAGGTACGTAAGTACGGTACCCAGCATCCCCAGCAAATCCCTTTTCTCTTAATTTTACTGTTCTTTTTGTGAAGAATCTCGACCAACCTGGAGTATCATATTGTGCAAAGATCACGCACGACGAAAATGCCATCACGAATGCCATCGAGATCTACAATTCTCCGAGGTACGCTTTGAATTGTTTCTTTCTTTTTTTGTCCCATTCCTTAAGACTTGTAAAAACAGCGGCCCAACTCGCCTGATGACCTCGAACAACGATGCAGTAGTTCGAGTTTTTGACGCAGAAACTTTTGCTGTCCTTGGTCGCTTCTGTTATTGCTGGCCTGTTAACGTAAGTATGTCGGTTTTTGCTCCCTCGTTCCCAAGCTTGTTTATTTGTCCCATTTGTACAGCACACGTCCGTCAGCCCGGATTGTCGAAGTATTGTTGTCGTTGGTGATAACACGGAAGGCCTACTTGCCGACGCTTCAAGTGGAAAGGTATATTTTTTTTTTTCCATCCCACGACTTCCAAAGTGCTTACACAGCATTTACTTTCGTTGTTCCAGGTGATAGCAACGCTCAAAGGCCATCTTGATTACTCTTTTGCTTCGGCCTGGCATCCAGACGGCCGAATCTTCGCGACTGGAAACCAGGACACGACTTGCCGGCTGTGGGACGTAAGAAATCTAAGCTCCTCGTTGGCCATCCTCAAGGGACGGCTGGGAGCGATACGCTCCCTCCGCTTCACAGAGGACGGACGTTTCATGGCCATGGCCGAGCCGGCGGACTTTGTCCACGTCTTTGACACAAGGCAGGACTTTATGCAAAGCCAGGAGATCGATCTGTTTGGGGAAATCGCAGGGATTTCCTTCAGCCCGGACACGGAAGCTCTCTACATCGGTGTGGCCGATCGGATCTACGGGAGCTTGCTCGAGTACAACCGATGCCGCGAGAACTGGTACCTTGACTCCTTCGTGTAAGTGTAGAGGACGAAGTAATCTGGCTGGAGTTTTCTATAAAGTTTGGAGGTGGTCGCTCGGTCGCTCGCAATTAAATGTTTGTGTGCTTGTTGTGTATATATGTAAGTTGCTCTTCGCGGCTTTTTCAAATAAGCGCATCTTGGGCGAATATCCGGACCAGTTTAAATACTTAAAAAGAGTGAGGCTTGTCTGGCATTTTTGTGTATGTGTTGGACATTCACCTGGTAAGGCCCACGAAATTTTACTATAATTTTAACAAACTCGAGAGATTCTAGACAATAAAAAATGTTTGATGGTAGCCATGTTATGGTTGAGGATTTTTATGGAAGCCTAGACAATAAAAAATGTTTGATGGTAGCCATGTTATGGTTGAGGATTTTTATGGAAGCCTATTTATATATAAAGCAGAGGCAACTTTAACCCCTCGGGGCAAAACAAAGTAGAACACGCCACCTTTTTAATTTCAAGGCTAATGTCATCTCCTCGGTAAGACCTTAAATTCAAAGCTGCGCATCCTCTCCTATTTGCTCGTACCGACTCGATCGAAGCTCTTTCATTATGAATCTAATATTTAAACGTAGTCGCAACCCGCAGAGTGCACAGAGAAAGAGCTGTACTGAGCACTGCAACTGTGATTTTGGGGAAAGCATCGACCCAGCGAGATCGATCGATTGCCGGGCTTGACTCCAGAAATCGTTTGCTGGAAAGCAAGCAGTGAATAATACGAGCCGCAAAAGAAGGTTACAGAGATGATCAAAGTCCACATTATTGACAGACTATGTGTGGACAAACAAACAATAGACTAGTAGCGCGCGAGGCGTTTGTGTCTTCGAAACCCACAACATCCTGGGACCTTGTAAACAAAGAAATTGCGTTTGGCTTGTGCAATAATAGGAGGGTCCCAAAGGCTTTTGTTTTTTGTCCTCCAAAGTCTAGCCACACTCAATCATGCCCCAAACCCTCGCGCTAAACAAAGGGTTTAAGGATTCGCCAAGCATGCGGTTTAGGAATTTGTTTGATTCCCCGCGAATAATCACCTGGACACGTGGCAGTCAAAGTTTAGTCTCTGGTAAAAAAGGGTAAAGCTCTCTGCCATTGAGTGTATGTGAGTGTGGTCACTTTGGTGGACTTTTGACTCCATTCTCGCCAGTTCTTTACTATATTAAACCCCCCTGCCATCTTTTTTTACAGGATCTTGGAAAACTCCGGAAGTTACCTCCCAGGAAAAAGATGTGGTCATTCGACAGGTGTCGGTGTACGTAACTGGGACAGGTGTCGCGCGACGACGGCGCAGGTACGTTTGGCCCAGACCTAGCCGCCGAGGCAATTTATGTGGACTGGCTGGTGTTGGTGGCAGCAGCAGCGACGTGACGTCCACGCCGCAGGGAAGAAGGCATTGCCCGTCAACTCAAGAAAATTAAGACATGGAAATCTAGGGCTACATTCTTTCCCTTCTTTAACGGCGGCTAGGCTTACGTGTGGCCTGACACTGACGGCCGGACGGCCTGGGGTGAAGTTTACCTGACTGACTGACGCACCGGCCTTGAGGGGCGTGCCCGTCAGGTGGGCTGAAACGTGTCCCCCGGGCCGGGGTAGGTCCGGACTCCGAATAGCAGGTCCGGCAGGAGAATATCCTCACGGTTGCATGATTGGGGTCGGGGATATTCCAGTTCTCCTGTGACACTCAAAATTCTGTGTTGCTCTTCTTTTTTTTTTGTGAGGAAGGAGTTGTGCGTGTGTGGCGTGGGGGTAAAAACAAAACGAGCGACTCGCCACCTGCTAGATCGACACTCGTCCTCGTCAAAGCGAGGGCGTTTTTTTCTTTTTTTCCTGGGATTGTATGGTTGCCATTTGGTTTCCGTGGGGCATTTGGAGAGAATGAACCTTAAAAAGCCGAGGGTATAGAAATCCGATTTCCCAGAAAGAAAGAAAGAAAGCTTGTGCCAAAGGTGGCGGAGGTGGGGCCTTTACCCTAATAGATCGAGGAGAGTGCAAGCTTTCAACCCATCCCCAATAATGCACGTAGCTTGTGTGGGCTCGCAAGCAACACTGAATGGATATATCATTGTCTCGGCAATTGTTGTGTGGCCTACAAAGTCGAGGACTTTGGGGGGTGCATGAGTGCTTGGAAAATCTTGGCACCCTAACGTCCCCATCGCATGCATTATTGATAGAGTGAGCCCTCCCGGCTTTATGGACGATTTTAGCCCTAATTTCTCCATCTTAACTTGAGTGGTCCGTCCAACCCCCAGGCCCCGCGATCAATCGTTGCTTGTCTCGTTCCTCTCTTGGATCAATCCTTGTCGTCACTGCCACGAGATCTCTCGAAATCTCTCTAGTCATTGAATGGTGGCGAGGAAAAGGAGCAACGAGAAACTATATTATTGTCACTCGAAATCTTTGGGAATGTGGACGAGGCCCATTCAGACTTTAAAGGCATGAGAGAATTGAAATGCTTGCCTTTTTTCTTTTGCAGAAGAATACGCTTTGTGGAGATACATGAATAAAGCCCAGTCCATACAAAATGTGCCAGTGATAACTACGCGATCGTCACTAGGGTGACAAGCAACCTCAGCACGCAAAAGGCCACTGTGTCTAGGGCCTTGTATCTCACGAAAAAGAATAGAAAACATTATAGCAGAAATCCCCAACGAAAAAGGAAAAGCAAAGAGAGGACGCGTAAGTGCACGGAGAAAAAAAGGAGGAAAAGCGCTAAATCATTAAAAAAAATTTGAGTATGGATCGTATGGTTCGTGAAATTCGACACCCGGCCAAAATTCAAACGCAAGAATATGCCAGAACTATTCTCCCCGTGGCAACCGTTGGATGTGTCACATCCCACGGTGCCTTGCCCGCCACGTTGCAGGCCCTCGTTATTTTAAGTCGGTTGTGTGTGTGGGTGTGCGTGTAAGACCCTGTCCTTGGAGTGGTCAGTGTAAAGCCAACACGAGAGGTCCGTTGTTCCGGAACGGGGGTGGAAGAGAGGAAGTTCTCCACTGTGGCGGCTTGAGAGGCTTCAAAGCGGGTGAAAATAGGCTAGAAAATTCGCAATCTACTGTGGCTTTGAGTGGAAGAAGCGCTCCTCTAGGGTTTCTTTTCCTTATTTTTCTTTTCGGCTGCCCGTTGTTCTTCGTGCCAGGCGCCGTTTGCGAGGCGATCGAGCCCTGCCGGACGAAGTATTGCATCATCGCAACAGCAAACCGCTCCAGGCATCGCCGATCGAGTGAAAAAGAAGCATCGCGAGGGCGTAATATCTGTCTCGTCCTCTTCTGCCCTGTTGCCGTGTGATTCTCGGTGGGAGCGGCTCAGTGGGGGAAATTTTCCTTTTCTCCAGTGCCTCGATCCCAGTGCCGCCGCTTGCTCTATAAATCCGAGGGCCGATCCCTTCTCTGGGCATTGCCGGTGCTGATCGATCGCCGCCGCCTCATGCAGCAGAGGTAAGGCGATTTCCCTCCCTTGCCTTTTCTTTGTTCTTGCGGGTCAATCAATGTGTGCGTGGAGCTGACCTGCATTTGTGGCATTCGATTGATTCCCTGCTGCTTGCGCCGTGAATTTTGGGGGCTGCGCTGCGTGTGTCGACTCCTCCCTTCTCTGGCATTTCGAGCGCGTCGATAGATCCAATGGAATGTATCTTGTTCTTACTTTTCTTCCATAATCTCCGGGGGGCTGTGTGTGGTCGCCTACTGCGATTCGATTGTTTCTTTCGTCTCTCCTTCTAACCGGATGCCTGGAAAATTCTTTGTGTAGGCCGACGGAGTGCAAGGACCCCGCGAGCTTGTGAAATTGTGTCGCCAAGAAAAGGTCTACGCTCTCTCCCTCCTCTATTCTCTGTGTAGTTGTCAAGGGATCACTGTTCTATCACTTTTCTGTTCCTGATATATTGCAATGCTGTGAGTGAGTGAGCTCTCTGCAAATTCCTGCGTCGGGTCGTGCGCGTGGTCATGGCTTTTGTTTGTGGATTGAAACCTTTTTTTTTCTTGGCGGGAGAGCAAAGGTGCGAGCATAATTAGCTAGCGCATTAATGTTTGCAAAAGAGTCGCTTCTTTGGCGATGTGTTCGAGAGCGAGAGAGACACAGAGAGAGAGAGAGAGAGAGGAGGGGGGAGGAAGCTCCATTTTTACAATGTTATAGCTATTGACTTTGGGTTGATCGATTTTTGCAGCACAGCGGCAGCAGCTGGAACTTGGCTAAGGCGGGGCAGGCAGGCCGAATTTGACTAAAACTCTTTTTTTACTCGGCGCTTCGTATCGCTCCTCCCCGTATCTCGAGTTTTCACGTGCTGCATCAAAGGGGGCTCGTGGAAAGAGCCGTTCTAGAAACTTTGGTGATCCTTTTGGCTTGCAACTTGCAAGGCTTTGGACCAACCAGAGAGGATCTCATCCTGATGGCCGTCAGCTCCAAGCGCAGCAACGCAATGCTCGCGGATCCCGGTGCGGCCTTCACCTCCAAGTTCTCGGACATGCCAGACTCGTCGCTCTCGCTACTGGGTTCCAGCTCCAGCCTCTTCCCGTATTGCAGCAGCTCGGCTCCCTTCGCGGCCACGCAGCAGAGAATTGGTGCATGCCGGTACGAGAACGGGAGGATCAGCAGCTGGATCGAAGCGATGCGTGCGTCCTCGCCTTCTCGAGGCGCGCCGGTCAAGGACGAGCAGAGCAACAACGTCAATAGCAGCAGCAGCAGCAGCAGCAGCAGCAGCAGCAACATCAGCAGCAGCAATCACTTGAAGCACGTCACCGCCGAGAGCCCCTACGCCGAGTGGCTGGTTAGTAGACTAACGAGTTCAAGTCTTTGCGTCTTTTTCCATATTTCTTGTGTTTATGGGGGGATACATACACAGTGCATTGACATTGAATTTGTTTGTATTCCAGGAAGGCCATCCCTCCGCCCTGGACTCTTTTGGCAACATGATGGAGGGAGCGAAAAAGAAAAAGGTTGCTATTTTCTTGGATTACGACGGTACACTGTCTCCAATCGTTGAGAATCCGGAGCAGGCGTTCATGTCGGACGAGGTGAATATTTTTTGGTGGTGTTGGGAGACTGACTTTGCTCCCTACTTGATACGCAGATGCGAGCGGCTGTGAAGCAGGTTGCGCTGCGCTTTCCAACTGCAATAATAAGCGGAAGGGGAAGAGACAAGGTAGCTTTTGCTCTTGCTTGGCGTGGTGGTGTGTTCTTCCCCCTTGATTTTTCCCCCTTGTTTCTTTTGTTTTCTTTTTTCTTTTTTTTTTCTTCTTTTTTTTTCCTCACTGATTTTCGGGACACAAATACGTGCAGGTTAAAAATTTTGTGCAACTCTCTGAGCTCTATTATGCAGGTAGTCATGGCATGGACATTATGGGTCCAGCCGATGCCTGCGATGGAGTCACAGTTGAGGGAACGCGAGGCAAAGATGAGAATGTTTGTACCTCCATGCTCTTCACTATTTTGTTCTCGCTTCGACTTTGCTCTCGGGTGTGTAATGTGGCTTTTCTTTTGTCCGTGTTACAGGGGAATGATGTCGTTTTGTTTCAACCCGCGGCCGAGTTCCTGCCGATGATGAACGAGGTATACTCCCTGCTTCCAAACTTGACTCCTGTGCTGTTTTGCGTTGCCACGACTTTTATGTACTGAGCTCATAAGTACTGTGCCAAAAAAAAAAACCTTTGAATGTTCGGACTCGACTGATGAACTGTTTGTTCGCCTGTCTCAGGTGTTTGGCCTCTTGTTGGAGAGGACACAAGCAATTCAAGGGGCAAGCGTGGAGAACAACACCTTCTGCATCACAATTCACTTCCGGAGAGTCGAAGAAAAGGTACCATATTTTTAATTTAATTTAATTTTCCTGTTTGGGGTTTCGAGTGTTGACCGTGCCTGTGGAAGCAGAGCTGGCACCTGTTGGCAGAGAAAGTGCAGGATGTCTTGAAAGACTACCCAAAGCTGCGGCTGACTCAGGGCCGTAAGGTATGTGGCTTTGCCGTCGTTGACCCGTCGCCTCATTGTACGCTCGCTGTGATGCAGGTGCTAGAGGTTCGGCCTTGCGTAGAGTGGGACAAGGGCAAGGCGGTCGAATATCTGCTTCGCTTGTTAGGTACTCCATTTTGTTTGCAAGGCGGAGATTTTTGTACTGACCGGAGGCTAATCTCTGCTTGTGCCTCCCGGCTCACAGGACTCGAGGACTCTGATTCTTTACCAATATACGTTGGCGATGATACGACTGATGAAGACGCGTTTAATGTGAGCTTTCCTTCTTTCTCTCCCTCCACCACAAGTTTTTTGCGTCAAACCTTGTGAAGTTCCTTCCCAAGAGCTGTGTAAGGACTAACGTCGCTCTCTTTGTCTGTTTGGCGCGTGTGAAGGTTTTTAAGAACCGTAAGATTGGATGTGGTGTGCTAGTCACCCGCGGGCCAAAGGCTACGAGCGCGTCGTATTCGCTTCGTGATCCACCCGAGGTAAGACTTTCTGGTGAAAGTGAAGAGTCCTCCTGACTCTGGCGGTGTTATTTTTCTTCGCAGGTGATGAAGTTCCTCCATGCTCTGGTTAATTGGAGCTCATCTCTATCTACTGCTACTACTTCTACGACCCAGTAACGAGGCGGGGAGAGGAGCTCCAGTGTCTCTTGCTCGCGCGAGCGCCGCATCAAAGTCGTCGTAGCATCGCATCGAATCGGATCGATGATGATCTCTCTCCTTACGGATCGTTCCAGGTACTGCTCTTAAGAACCGGTTTAGTGTCACCACCATAACGCGACGAGACGAAACAAGCTGTACAGTGAGTAATTGTCAAGCCAGCAGCGGAGAAAGGATTCTTTTCCTTCTTGTTCGACGAGTGAGGAGATTTTATGGGCCGAGAAATCGAAGATGGTCCCATTTTCAGAGATGAAAAAAAAAAAGAAGAAAAGAACTGCTGCTTAAATTTGTCTTGGAATTAATGCAATCGTTGAGAATGAAGATGAGGCTGTCTTAAACTTGTTATATCAAAATATTGTTGGTTTGTTCTACCATATATGCAATATGACTAATCTTGTGTTTATAATTATAAATTTCTAATTGATCAATTGGATTAATAACGCTATTAGTTTTTATACAATGCCAATCGTTTGACAAGGTTTGTGATTGTCCACGAGAAAAAGCAAAGGAACTTTGTGTGGTTTCTCGAGTTATATGTAACAAGCCAGCCTCTCTTTCACTCTCTTGACCACGCCCTTGGGCTCGTACTCTTCCGGAAGCTCGCCAATGACGATCATGTTTTGGACGCGATCCACGATCTCAGCGAGCCTTCGCTTCTTGTCCTCCTCGATCTCGGCCTTCACCTATGGAAGAAGAAGAAGAAGACGCGATCAAATCAAAGAAAAACCAGACCAATCTTGTGACCTTCTAGTATCGTCGTTGTAGTTCTTAAAATCTAACGGGAGTATAAGCTTACCCGTTCGGCTCTGGTAAGAGCGTCGGCGATGGCTTTCTCCGTTTGCTCGTGCGCGTGTGATCTAATCTTGTGCGAGTCCTGGCGCGCCCTGGCGAGAAGCTTGTCCGCGCGGACCTAGAAGATCGATCGATCCATCGTTAGAACTTAAAACTCCACGTAAATTTTACAAAAATGGTGAGGTAGCAAGAACAAGAAACCACGGCCATGGCGGAATCCAAGATCCAGCAAGAAAGCGAGCAGAATTCCACAAATATCGCGCGCGCGCGCGCGCTAGCGGCGAAAGAATCGAAAGCCTCGGCCTACCTCGGCGGCGTGGACGACGTGATCCGCGCGCTGCTCCTCGCGCTTGCGACCCTCGAGGGCGCGCTGCTCCTCCTGCATCCGCTGCCGCTCCGCCTTGTCCTGCATCCTCTGCGCCCTGGCCTCGACCTTCCTGGTGGCGGCATCCAGATACGCTTGCGCCTCCGCCTCCACGCGGCCCCGGTGCGCCTCCGCGATGGCCTCGGCCCTCTGATTCACCGCCTTGGTGAGCGATGCCGCCGCCGGGCTAGCGCTGCCGCCATTCTGGAGGATGAGCTGCCCGCCCGGGGGCGCGGCCGTGGGAGCCATCGCCAGGATCTTCTTGTTCCCCCCCAAGGGTTTAAAGAAACGGATATTCTTTAATATCCGACCGCCAAAATCTTTCAAATCAAACCTAAGGTTTTAAAGAATATGGTTTGCTAAGCATAGGGTTGTTAGAAACAAATGGATAATTGAGAAATCTTTGATAGAATTGACCCCCGAACAGCACTAGATTTGGTCGACTTTGAAAAAATGCGCAAAAAAAAAGGCCCACGTTGACATCTTTCGGAGAGAAATCGCTACCTTCTTTCAGGCACAAAGTCGTTATGTCAAACATAATTAAAGCCTTTGGATCGTATCAGAGCTCTCGCTTGTCAAAGTCTCAACTCCCAGTTGAGCTCCGGGAAAAAGAGAGCCATTCCAGATACCAATTTCTCTCCATACCCGTATGAAATCCCTGGACCAAGTGGAATTCTTCATCTCCACTGGAGAATCATTTACAAAACCCAAGATGGTACGCCCACAGTTTGATTCCACACCGAAAGAAAAAGGTGCTCATCAAAAGAACTTGGCTGGTTTTTGACATATTCGCTGTAATCTCCTTGTCCTGGATGGAGAACACACCGCTGTGAATCTGGAATCTGGATCAATCTGGGTTTCCAAAACAATCATTGACATATTCCGATCTTCGGTTCTCCTTTTGATCCAGAAGAAGATCAGAACTTCCAGTCCCGCGACTCAAACTTTGGTGGTGGTGATTGAGCTCTGGTGGTGGTGATTGATGTTGTATGCCTCTCGAAAAGATTGCAAGACAAATGATAGAGCTTGCTTGCTCGCTCGTTTGATTCTATTCGCAACACTTCCTTTTTCTCCTCGCGCAAGTTGTTTCATAGCTGGTGAACATTAAATTGTGAAGAAAACATGCCGGCCAGACAGAGCGAAAGCTAAAAAGCCACATTGTTCTTCCCCCGTGCAAATCTTCCAATCCCAACAAATTGGTGTCGCAAGATCGCCAAAGAAACGATCACGATCGATGAAGCGGGTTATACCACCATCTTACGGCGGCATCTTTTCCGTGCCCTGCCTGCCACTGGGGGCTTCGATATCGTACTCGTGATCTCGCGCGTACGGGAAAGAACTCCACCCATATGCAACCGCGATCAATCAGTTCTGGAACACTTCCATAAAACTTAAGCTTGAGTTTAGCTATGGAGATGGATTATCTCGAAGTTTTCTCACGCCACGAAAGCTTCCAGGTTTCCAGAGAGGTAATTTCTCCCGACAACTGGGAACCTGCCCGGAAGCCTTTTGATCGTGTCTTGGCTTGTTTTTATCAGAGCAAACTTTGATAACTCGCTCGCTCACGCTCGCGACACACACTGATCCACGAATAAACAAGTCGTTTCTTTAAACAAGTCTTCTTTCTCTCTCGGGCCCTCTTTGCGGCCCAACAGCCGCTACAACGATCCAGCAACCATATACATATCTCGAGATTATTCTTTATATTCCCTCGAGGAATAATCTTCCCGGCTCCCTGACGAAACAACCAGTGACGCGTTGTTTACAACTGCCTGTGACGCTTGGGCCATTTGCCTCGATCGTTTTCTATGGTTTTGGCTTTTGTTGGTATACGAGTTGATCGACGTATCGATCGCCCAAATGCGAAGATCATCCATTCCTTCCATCCAGATAGAGATGGCGGCTTTGAAAAACCCAAGTCAATTAGCCGAAACCCAGGACGTGGAGTTAACATCACGTAGGATCTTTGGGACCTTTTGGAAACATTGGTTTTGGCGTGGTTTTCTTCTTCGCTCCAAAGTCAGAGTCTGTGCCAAGATATTCGTACGGATGGCGCGTGTGTACGGATAACTGTTATTCCCCTGCGTTGGATCCGGCCAGCCGACGGTCCAGATGCGTCGCCCCGGGCTTGAAAAGCTCTCCCGGTTTGGCTGGAGCGCTGGCATTGATAGAGCTTTGATCGAATCGAGCAATCGCTCCTCTTTTATCTTTTTCTCAATTTTTTTTTTCTTCTCCCGATCGAGTCGCCGCGGATCATTTTCCCTGACCAGTTCGCTCGCTCCGCCCCGGGAAAATGTGACCAACAGGAGGAAGAAGAAGAAGAGATTGATTAGGTCTGTAGCGCCGCGATCGCCGATCGATCGACTAGGAAATGTCCCAAGAGGATGAAGCCCAATGTGACAGTTTGAAACGATCGCCGCCACGGCCACCACCACCACCGCTAGCGCCACTGCCAGAGAATTCCTCCAGCGCCACCACCACCACCACCGCGCACGGCTACCCAATTGACCAATTCCTCCAGCAGCACGAGATTGTCCGATCGAGCGCCACCACTCCCCTGCGATTGCTACTCTCGCGACTCCGGTGGGGGATCATCAGGCCACCATTCCCCGCCAGCGCCTTCTCGATCGATGGCGATGAGGAGGAGAGGATCAAGAGGAGTAGTAGCAAGGAGAGAGGAAGATCATACGTGCTGCTGCCGCGGTGGATTTCCAGCCGCCTCACCTTCTACCGCCTCCACCTCGCGTACTTCGTCACCATCGCCTGGGTCGCATCGATCTGCCTGTGGCTTTTCCCCAAGAGCGATCGCGCCGGGGCGGACAAGCTGGACTTCATCGACTGCGTCTACAATGCCGTGTCCTCGGTGTGTACCACGGGCCTCATCAGCGTCCGGATGACCAGCTTCTCGCTGCCGGACAACATCCTCATCATGATCCTCTTCACGCTGGGCAGCCCGATCTTCACGTCGGTGCTGCCACTCTACATCCGCCTCTTCCAGTTCCGCAAGAACATCGTGGAGATCGAGCACCACCTCGGGCAGCCCGAGGTGGCGGCGGCAGCGGAGCCGGAGTCCGAGGGCGAGCCCGAAGCCAAGTCCGAGATCGAGTCCGTGGTGTCCGAGATGGAGGCCGAGGTGGTGCCCGAGGTGGTCGGGCACCGGATCATCACGCGGCGGCGCTCCGCCAAGAACATCCACGCCGCCAACGCCGTGACCAAGCTCCGTGACGCGCTGGCCACCATGCGGCTGGAGCACGACGCGCTCGTCTCGCTCAATTGGGTCGTCTCGATCTACTTCGTGGTGTGGACGATCCTGGGCTTCCTGGTGCTCGAGATCCTGCTCCAGTGCTCCGCTAAGGACATGGCGGTGCTGGAGCAAAGGTCTGTCAACCATCTCTTCTTCTCGCTCTTCGCATCAATCTCCACCTTCACGAACTCGGGGATATTGCCGCTCGACGATAGTATAGCCGCGTTCCGGGAGAACAACGGGATCCTTCTCTGGCTCTCGATCTTGATCCTGGTCGGGAACACCCTCTTCGCGCCCTGCCTCCGCACCACCATCTGGTGCCTCAAATCGCTCAGCGCCACCCCGGCCAGGAGAGCGATCTACGACTATCTTCTCAAGAATCCTCGGCGCTGCTTCACTCATCTCTTCCCCAGGAATCAAACCATCTGGCTCGTCGTCACCGTCATGGGATTCAATGCCTTCGAGAGCGCCTTCTTCTACATTCTCAGCTGGCGGTCGCAAGCGCTCGATGGCTTGACCACGCCGCAGAAGCTCGTCAACGGGATCTTCCAGTCCATCACAACGCGCAGCGCCGGCGAGAACGTCGTCTCCATCTCCGCGCTCTCGCCATCCATGCTAGTCCTTTACATTGCCATGATGTGAGTGGAACTCTCTCCATTTCCCCTTCGTTTTGTTCCTTGCAGCAAATGCCCAAGGGTGGCATTTTGTTTTGTCTTTTGGGTCTTTTTTAACGCGACGCTTTTGGCTTTGCAGGTACATTGCGGTGTATCCCGTCTATCTCTCTCGCCAAAACTCGCAAGCCCAAGACGAGAGCGTGGAGAAAACTAGCAAAAAGATCCAAGACCACGGCAAAAAAAAGAAGAAGAAGAAGAAAGGTGATTTCTCCATAGCCAGCCAGTCCAAGCGGCTGATAGCTACCGACACGGCCTATCTCTTCATCTCGATCTTCGTGCTGTGCATCATCGAGAACCGAAAGATCAACGATGATCCACTCAACTTTTCCATCTTCAACATCATCTTCGAGGTCATAAGGTGGGTTTTTTTTTTTTAAAACTTTTTGGCAAACAAAGTTCGTGACTTCCTCTCTCACGGGAATTGGGAGCTCCACGGGCTTTGTTTCTAGTGGCCACGCCTATTGAAAGCTCTGGTTCTCTATCTAACTCCTTTATCCTTTGTTTTTTCTCTTTTTTTCTCTGTGCAGTGCTTATGGCAACGTCGGTTTGTCACTGGGCTACAGTTGCTCCCTGTTGCGAAAGCTGACTTCGTTTAGCTCCGACACATCGTGTGAAGATGTGCCTTACAGTTTCTCTGGCACCTGGAGCGTCCCGGGCAAGCTCCTCATGATCGTCATCATGTTTCTTGGCAGGCACCGTGGGCTACCCGATAACATGGACTCTGCCTTGCAAATCCCAAAGAGTTTCTTCACCACCACCAAGCGCGACCAAAACTATCAGCACCACCACGAAAATGGTATCAGCTTGGACCATCAACCCGTGGAGATCCACCCCGAGTACGTGGTGGAGATTCCGGCAGCCATGGATTTCTCGGTCGTGGAGATTGATGGCGATCAAGCTCGTCAGCAATGCTCTTGCGGGCCGGATCATCCCGACCGGTTGGAGCTTCAAAAGCTGGACCGGTTTCCAGTCGTGTGAGGACTGCGATGCGCCTCAATAATGGACACGACCGGCTGTTTGTGGATTTGAGGAGGTGAGGAGGACTCTACCAAGGGAGAAAGATGGCGACCAGGAAGGAAAGAAAGAAAAAAACAATTTTGCTTCGAAAGGATCGATGCTGTTCTTCCGGGACGCTTTCCTCGACTCCACAGCCCGTTGACGGCGACTTCCAACACTTGCAAGAAACTCTGCAGTGATAAGAAAGCCGGGACAAGTTGACGACTTTGAAGAGATGGTCAGTCGTAATAGTTTCTCTCGCTCACTTATATAAGCAAACGAGAGAGAGAGAGAGAGAGAGAGAGAGAGAGCGAGATAGATACAATTTGGGACAAGGGA